TAAGTACCTAACATCTCCACCACCACCACCAGGAAATACTTCTGAGTATTTAACATGTGCCAAGACCTGTGGAAAGTATTCTAAATCTACGTTTTTCTATTTCAAAAATCATAACTTAAAGAATGAAAACATTGAAACAAATTTTTTAAGAACATACCAGGATTGTGGATACGATCCAAAAGCTTCACAGAACGTGCGCTAACAACACCCCCAACATGCACAAGAAATCCAGGAGGAAATGCCGTCAAGGTAAAAAATGGAAATTCCTAGTAGAAAGAATGGGAGGAAAATAAAACTGACCATGTGGAAAATATCAAAAATTTGCTTGTTAAAAAGCTTGTCATAGGAAATGTATTCTATCCATTGAAATAAAAGGCTACCCATTATACATTAAATATGCTTCGTAATTAAAAGTTTCATTAGATGTTTAGAGTTCCAAATCTATTTTCCCATATATACACTTTTATACAGAACTTAAATACATTTTTTATCAATTCTCAGTGAGAAAAAGTGTTCTTAGAGTTCCAATTTGAGATATTTAGAACACACTCTTCCTTCCTCTCAACCTCCTACCCTAACACAATTTTGCAATAAGATGAGGGGATTGCCCTCTGTACCCCGCATCTATTTCTCAGTGGTGTAGATGCCCCCTTCACATACACACCCAATACAAGCCGTTGAGGGGATTGCCCTAACTCTCTACCCCCTTTCTATTTCTCAGTGGTGTAGACGCCCCCTTCACATACACACCCAACATAAGCCATTGGTAAAGACTCCAAAGGCCGGGAGCAACAGATGTACAAAAAAGTGAGAACAAGGAAGGGGAAGTGAAAAGATGAGTAGTGTGGGTTAAAAGAAAGGAGAGAGGATAAGGGAAAATATCATGTTGAGGCAGGTAGAGAATTGCTGTGTGGGATTATTTACTCTCTAGGAGGAGCAAATGCAAGTACATAAATGTATGTTAAGGAAAGAGGAAAGGTATGCATATAAGAACTAGGGAGGCAATAAAACTCCACAAATTCTTCTCAGCTTTATTCTCCCCTTTTCTCTCAAGGATGTAAAACTCTTCAACTTAAGAGACAAAGAGAAACATACAAAGGAGAACCGATAAAGCAGAAAAAGGAAAGTCACTGAAATAGCACAAAAGAAGAAAGGGGAGCTCCTGCGGCTGTACTGAGGCACCTCACATTATACAAATTGGAGGCAAGTAAAGGAAACTTGATACCTGACCTGTCTGGCTTTAAGACTAATGCAACTCACTTAACCAAAAGTCACTTACCAGCAGCCTCAGCTACTTTAAACATAACTGAGAGCTGAAAAATAAGTAAAACAGGGCTCTCCACGTAAAAAAAAAAAA